AACAAAACTTGTAGTTTGATAAAAAGGGAAAGTTGGAGGCAGACGCACACAGAAGGTATAAAGGTAAGGCAGGGACTGGGGTGGTACATCTATAAGCCAAGCAAAGACGGCCGGCAAATGCCAGCAGGTAGGAGAAAGGCATGGAATAGATTCTTCCTCATAGCCTCACACCCACACCTTGGCTCATTTTCCAGGCCTGGGAGATAATGGATTCTGTTGCTGAAGTCACCCAGTCTGTGGCATTTTGTTAAAGCAACCCTGGCAAACTAATACAATGGGGAAAGGCCTGCCTTGGAGTCAGGCCATAGGGAGAGCATGGCAAAACCACTTTTCTGTCTGGGACTCAGTTTTCTTATCTGGAAAATGGGAACAGTAGGTTTCAAATATGGCTTCAGTTTTAGTCCTGGAATAAAATCTTACACAGAAGCTCAAATAAAGAAAGTAAACAGGGTCTGACCAGGTAGAAGTCTAGCAGAATGAATTCTTTTTTTAAAAAAATCCATTTTATTCAAATATAAAAAGAAAAAAACGAAGGAGAAAAACTACCACAAAATTTTAAAGTACATCAATCAATGGTACATACAGTGCACAATGTCACCCTTAAATCATTCACCCAGAGCACAAGATATCTGCTTTCAATTGTTTGAACAATACCAGCACAAATCTATCTCTTTAGCAACCTCAGAGGAATCAGTGGTATAACTGTCTTAACTATTTTTATGTACATATACATACAACATATACATGTTTTTTCTTTCATTTTGTCACACTAATGAAACAGCAAGATGTTTACACATGTTGGTCTTACTTATTTCACTAATGAGTATGTTCTCAAGGTGCATCCATTTACCTATAAAAGTGTCCAGTTTATCATTCTTTACGGCTGAGTATTACTCCTCTGTATAAGAATACCACATCTTTTTTATCTATTCCTCAGTCAATGGGCATTTAGGTTGTTTCCAAGATCTGGCTATTATCAATTGTGCTGCTATAAACATGGGTGCACATATATTACTGTGGTATGATATTTTTAATTATTTTGGGAAGATACCCAGGAGGGGACTAGCTGGGTTGAATGGGACCTCTAATCCTAGTTTTTTTAAGAATCTCTACACTGATTTCCACAGTGGTTGCACCAGTCTACACTTCCACCAACAGTGGAGAAGGGTTTCTTTTTCCCCACAGCCCCTCCAGCATTTGTTATTGGTTAGTTTCTTGATATTAGCCATTCTTTCTGGGGTGAGGTAGAATCTCAGTGTTGTTTTAATTAACAGAATGAATTCTGAAAGCCACAAGTACATCCACCTGGAAAACCCCTGTCAGAACTCCTACTACATCCCAGATGAAAACCACCCTAATATCACAGAGTTTTTGTTTGTTTGCTTGCTTGTTTGTTTTGTGGGGGGGTTTTTTGCAGGGGGTTTCCAGGTACAGGGGACTGAACCCAGAGCCTTTGCACAGAGCTGTACCCCCAGCTCTTTTTAAATTTTGAGATAGGGTCTCACGAAGTTGCTAAGTTGACAGACTGGACTCAAACTTGCCATCCTCCTGCCTCAGCCTCTCAGCTGGGATTAAATGCACGCACCACCATGTCTGGATACCACCAAGTGTCTTGCGCGCACCAAATTCATGCTGCCACCTTAAAGAGCTCTGGAGAGTTGCAGAGAGGTGAGACCAACACCCGAGCACTGCAAAGCAGGCTACCCTCTCTCTCCCAAGAGCTCTAGCTGCATACAGGTCACCTGACATTTCACATCTAAATTTATCTTGCCCTCCAAGGACAAACAGATGCTGAACACGGCTAAGTGGCAGAATGACAGACGTGGTGCTCCCTATCGCCCAAGGACAGCAGTGACGTCCACAGAGACTTGGTTTCCCTGACGATGAAATTGAGAGCTTGAGTGCCAGATTGGCAGACTTGAAGGGGACTGGGTCACAGAGACGTGTGATAATTGTCAGGCGGCCCTCGTGGGCCCACGGACTCTTCAAGGAGCACAAAGTCAATGAGGAAGGAAAGAAACGGCATCACCATTCTCTCTAACTCACTCTGTTTCATTCACGTAATTTTTAATCACACACGAATGATTCTCCTTTCACAAAACAAAGCCAGGAGCTTGTGATACAGTTCAGTGGCATAAGCGCCTGCCTAGCAAGCATGAGGTTGTGAGTTCGATCCCCTGTACCAAAAATAAGTAAATAAATACAGCCTGAGTCCCCGCGGACCTCCATGACTACCCCACAGGTACCTCGTGCTGCTGGGACTCTGGGCGGCAGCCTTCTGGGACAGGCTTTGCTGCTCAGAGCCCAGCAGCACTGGGTGGGAGAGCAAGGGCGCGAGAAGAGCCAGGAATCTCTTCACACTCTTAGGTTTGGGGGTTCTTTGTACACTGAGTTACCCTTTCCTCTGGAATCACGTGTGGCCATGCACCCCTGCTGCTGGAGGGGTTTAGCCTCTGGCAAGCAGCTCCTCTGCAAGGCGACTCAGTCGTCAGGGCTGGGGTACGCAGTGCCATGCCAGGCCCGAGAGCCACTTTCTGTGAACAGCCTCCTCTAAATGTCAGTCCTGCCTGCAAGTGAGGAGGGGCCGTGATTTATGACATAGCTTTTGGACAGTTCCAATGGAAATATTGCCAAACAGCGGAATAATCAACTCTTTCACTCAAGCCCCCTCCTACTTTTTTTTAAATGAAAGAATAAATTATGCAATGAGTCTGAGCTAAATAAATAAAAATGCCACACTTTTGCCCAACAGAACTTTCTGCGTCACAGGGAAATATCTGCAGACCTCAACAATCTTTTATCTTCCAGACGATGTTTCCAGCCCTCCAACCTTTGGCCATTATGAGAACTTCTGTGACTTGAACCCTCTACAGATTTTACATGAACAATGAGCCCATTAAACAATAATGTCATTATCTAGTGGTTTGTAGAGCAGACAGAAGACAACCCCGGCCTCCTTGCATGGTCTGGCTGCCCTCTGTCAGTTCTGACTCTAGACAGCATCCAGCATTGCTCGTAGCAGAAGCTGAAACATAGAGTGAGGAATCTCTGCCTTACAGCTGCCAATTACTGTCCTGGCTTCCAGGCTGACGAGAAGGAGGGAGCAGCCCACAAGTTACTTTGTCCATCTAGCTCCTCACCCATCCGTACATCCATCTCTTGCTTCCTGCTTCCGTCCATCCTCTAGTCACTGAACCACAAAGGAGACGCAAATGGAGAAGTGGTCCTGAGAGCTCCTCTAAATATGCCCTGCCTGAGGAGGCTGCGAACGAAACTCCAGTGAGTGGAAAGCCTGCCCACTGCTCCCCCACTGAGCAACCTTTCCCTTGTAATCATGGAACATTCTCAATCAGTTATCACATTGTGATTTCAGTCAATCTCCTGGGCTTGGCCATGATCAAGTTCTAGGCACAGGGACCGCTATGCTTTCCCCATGAGTAGCACCCAGTAAGGGGCCGGTACACTTCTGCTGAATAACTATGTAAATGTGCAACACATGGCTACAAGGAGCGATAAAAGGAGACAGACAGAAATGTCCTCCTCTCTCTGCTTTAGGTGCCAGCTGAGGCTGATACCCCTAATATTCAAGTGTCACTATGACACTAGGTAGATAGCAGAAAGATCAAGGGACTGAACTGTCCTGGACATGCCACCCTTCCCTGGGACCCTGGTCACTGGTTTCTGAAATGGGGGTGGGAGGTTAGGCAAGGTGTTTTCTGGTTCTTAAATTGAGAATTCTGTACTGACTTAACTTCATTGAGGTAACTACTCAAACTATGACCAGAGGCCCTCAGTTTGCCTTCCCTTCTAGCGCCTTAGACTGTGGCTGAGTGTTGTAATCGTGTTGGATTTTTGCACTTATATAGTAAGGATGCAGAGGACTGGGGGTGAGGTGGGAAAATGGATGTTTTTTGTTTGGGGGGTTTTTGTTTTTTGTTATATAATCCTGGCTAAGCTCAAACTCATGATACTCCTGCCTCAGCCTCCAGAGTGCAGGAAAGTAAAGGGTTTTGATAGTACTCTTGAAGGCTAATATTTATTAATTTAAACCACTGGTTAAGGTAAAATTTAGATATAACAAACACGTCACAAATTTATGAAAAGAGATACTCATTTTGAATATTTATTTTGCCTCATTCAATCTTTCACTGCCTAGTATTTAAACTTACCTAATATTTAAAATAGTACCAGTATGTGCCAAGTACAGTTCCAGGAGTGAATCGGGTAAGACACAAGTACTTTTAACACAGAACATCCAGTCCAGTGTGGGAGACAGAAAATACACAAGTAAATGACTAAATAAAAGATGACTTCAGATGGAGGTAAGGGCACAGAACACTAAATAAACAGCACTACGGGAAAGAATACAATCAGAGGCAGGGAGTGGTTCCTTCTTGGAAGGCTTCTCTTTGATGAGGAATCTGGGCTAAGAACTAACAGTCCCCGGGAGAAAGTGTGAAGAAGATTCCAGGTGAAAGCAATAGCAGGTGCGAAGGCCCCCACGGCTGTGAAATTCACAGAGCAAAGAGGTGGCCAGAGCAGTGATAAATTCTAGGACAGATCACAGTGGGCAGGGTAGGAACAGCACTACCAAGAGATGGCACTTGGATGGAGAAAGGCATAACCTTCCTTTTCACCAACCTCCAGCACTCTCTCCCATCAGAAATGTACACAACAGCCCACAGCAGCGCCTGGGACTCGTTACCCCGGAAATCACAGATCCGTTCATATCACAATTGTTGCACATATCTAAAAATACCACTTATGCTCATTGCAAATTCAAAATTATAATACCTATTCAACAAGCTCTTAAATATCACTGTATTTTAATTGTTTAAAATTTTTTTTATTTGAGGCAGGGTCTCACTATGTTCAGGCTGGTCTTGAACTCACTACACAGCCTAGTCTGGTCCCAAATTCACAGCAATCCGCCTGCCTCAGCATTTCAAGTGCTGTGATTATAGCACCACACTTGGCTTAAAATTTACCTTTTTTTAGTTAGTTGCTCTTTCTAATGAATTGATCGTTACACTTATAAAGTTCTGAAATGCCAACAGGCCACAGAAAAATATCACTTTAGGCTCCTGCTTGAAACCAACAGTTTTAGAAAACTGCTGGCCTTTATTCGGGGCCAATAGATTTTATTCAGAAGTGTTAATCAAGAAGCACATACATTTCTGCCTTTTACATTTTAAAAGCATCAGTTTCCTTTGCAACCCTGAATATTTCATTTTATTGGTTAGAAGCATTATTCTGAGAAGGCGTCCGCCTACTTCACCCGTAGCCAAGGTGCTCACATCGCAGGATGGAGCCGGAGGTTCGCTCCCAGCGGGGTGCAGCACTGTTGTGTGGTTTCGGAGAGGAATGATTCACTGGAGCAGCTTTCATTTTCCAGTCAGCCCCACTGCCTGTGGTTGCCCAGGGCAGTGCCGAAGGCAGGAGGAAGCCATGGCTTTAACTGATCGCTGTTCTGGATGGTTCCAAGGGGGCAGTGTCATGGGGTCCTGGTGGGCTCTGTTCTCCGTTTTGCTGTACAGCCTTCTCCTGTACCATTGCGTGCTAAGCTCTGGGCACAAGGGACTTGGAACATTGGGACTAAGCCTGCCCCAGGACATCCTCCCAAAAAGCTTCAGAAAGTGAGCTCATGCATCCATAAGGAAAATACAGTATTTGCCATTGTTTGCTCTGTGTATTGGTCTAGAAAGAAACGAGGACACTAGGCCCCCACAGAGGCTGGGCGAACACTATGGCAATGGGCTGTAAAAAAGGGAACAAGGCCTTAGGCCCGCCCCATGTGCTGCAGACCCTCGTTTCTGTCAGCCTTCCTACATGTCCTGGGCCTCTCTTCACATCTTAGGCACACAGTCTGCTAACCTCCTCTCAAGAACAGAAGCATCGTTCCCGAATGCCAGCATGCACATTTCTCACATGGCCAAGGGGCAATGGCCCAGCCAAAAGCCTTCCAAAAGGGACCATTTATAAACTACACATGGTGGGATTCATGGACCTAGAGAAGCTCAGAGCTGAATCTGGGTCTCCCAGGTCCCCTCCTGGTAAGGAGGGCACCAGAGAGATGGTGAGGGACAGGTGGGTGCTCCTGGGACAGTGCTGGATGACCCTAGGAGAGGGGCCACAGGGAGGGTACCTGACTTGGAAGGGAAAGCAAGGGGGGCATGGAGCCGGCACAGCACTAGTGGCCACGTCAAGCAGTGGCCACGTCTCAAAGGAGAGACGTGGAGAGGACGGGTGTGCTGGGACTCTAAGATGCTGTGGACTGAGCTTCTGTACCCTCCCCAAATGCATACATGGAGGTCTACCGTCAGCATGATGAAATGAGGGGCCGTGATGAGAGGGAGGCGTCCTGAATGGTGTTAGTGTCCTTTCAAGAAACAAGAGAGCCTGCTTCCTCCCTTGCCACCAGGCAGACATACAGCAAAGGGAACTGGGCCTTGATTCTAGGCTCCCAGCCTACAGAATTGAAAAATGCACGTGTTCTTGGAGCTACGCAGCCTATGTAATTTGTTACAGCAGCCAGAGCTGACTGAGACAGCAGTGAGAAAGTCTAAAGGTAGGTGTTCCACCGCTGGTGTGAGCTGGAGCAGCAGGTCTGGATGACCCCTGTGCCAACAGCTTCCCAGGTCAACCCGGCTGCCCCTGCAGAGGCCTCAGCCTGAACAAGACAGGATGCAGTTCTTGGTGTAGGGTGAGGGCCACTTTGTACTCACTGTCATTTCGGGTTCCAATTTTTCCAGCACCCACTTAGGGACAAAAGGGAGGCAAAAAAAAAAGAGACAGATCCAGGGCGCTCGCAGTGGTATAATTTCTCATGTCCCAGAGTTCCAACCAGTCTACCTTCTCTCCACCTTCCAGAATCTTCCATTTGTTTTACACACAGTGTCCAGGATTTCCAGCTATCCTTCAGCAGGGATAGGGGATGGATCTAATCCCTCTTGGCTGGAACTAGAAGTCCTATATTTCATTATAACTTATATTTTTAAGAAACACATAAATCAAAATAGCAAAGCAGTAAGATTTCTTTAACCTGGATGGCAGATACATGAGTGCTGTGTATATTACTCTCAGGAATTTCCTGTCTCTGAAACCCTTCAGAAGCACTGTGGTCACTCATACCTCCTTCACTCATTTATCCAGCTAACATTTTTTTAAAAGAGACACGAGAAGGATTTATTAGAGGTCGAAACAGAACACACTCAAGAGCAGAGTACAGCTGCGCAGAGAAACGAGGCACCTCATTCAGCTAACTTCTTTTACTCCCTTTATGCAAGCCAGCTGCCTACCACACAGTGGTGAATTTAAGAGATCCAGTCCCTTATGATAGATCTGTTCTACCTGTAGGACCAACAGATGCATCAACAGCCAACCAGACACAGCAGGAGAAGAGGACTGGATGCTCTGAGAGGCTCTGGCAGGGGCCAATTTACATAAAGGCCTCAGGGGAGGCTTCTCTGATGTGGCTGTGCTCCATCAATATTCCAAAACCTGCAGACAGCAACACCAACAGTGAGAAGCAAACAGCTTCCCCAGAGCAGGCTTCCCAGGTGAGTGAAGTTACCTGTCTGTCTGCATAATTTCCCCTTTTAGGATGCTTTCCTCCTATTTCAAGTTCTCTCCTCCAAGCCAGCATCTCAGAAAGGTCTCAGATCAGCCTCTGGCCTATGGAGGGAATGTTAAGATGTTCCCAGGGCCTGCAGTAAGTAGGGAGTGAGGCGACATCCCTCCCTTGAGAGAATGCTGGGCTCTGCATGACTCACTCACAAAAGGCATTCCGTCAGCTGTGGCCTCACTATCCCAATTCTGAGGAGAATGGAGAAGGCTTGAGTTCTCTGGGACTTCAGGGTGTGCAACGGGAGGATGGCAAGTGAGGAGGATCCCCTCACAGCCCGACTCCAGGGCCCTACTGTTGCCAAGCCTACATTAATTAGCATGAAGTAGAAAATGGACAGTCACCAGAGGGGCTCTCCCTAGCTCTCCTCTCTGAAAACCATTTGCAGTCCTAAGGGGCCAACTCCCCAGCCCCCAGCCCTAGGAGGACAGCTCCTCTCTACCCCCCACCTCCATGGGCCACCAGCTAGAAAGTTGATCCTCAAAGGTGAACATGGATGTCCAAGGTCACAACTCTGGAAGGGCCAAGAAAGACAGTGGTTACTGGGAAGTCCAGAAGGAAGCTGAGCCCCCAGGAGGCTCCATACACATGGAACCATTTGATCCACTCCACTGTCCTGTCACTGGGTTCTTAGACACTGTATTACAGTTGGAGAAATTGAGGTTCATCAAGACTAAGTATCTTATAATGTGATCAGTAAAAACGAGTGAGGTTAGAACCCAAATCCCCTAAACCTAGGGCTCTAATCCATTAGCTCAGATCTCCTGAGGACATCACAGAGATTCCAATCTCACCGAGGTGTTAAGGATGGAAGGTGGACCTGGAGGACACTCCACCTGCTCACATCTGCCTTGGCGGGGCTTCCTTTCACTTCATAAACACTAAATAAGCGAGCTCCTCCACCATGCTAGGCACAGTGGGGCACAAAGAGTGAGTGTACAAATGCTACCCACCTTTCAGAGTGATGGAGAAAGCCCAGGGATGGTGTTAGTCCCACCTGCCTGGGAAACTGCTGGAGGCCAGGCCACATGGAAAAGCCATCAGAGAAGCCAAGGATGTGGCCATGAGTGTCTTCACATTCTAAGGCAGGCACAAGTAGTTCACCCAAAGTCCTAAACAGAAGTTCCCTAAACAGAGTTCTGGGTAACAGAGCCATCCTTGTGTCTGATCCTTGGTGGGTCTAAGTGTTAGAAAATGTATTAAGCACATGCACAACCTTTGGCAGTCTTGAGCTAATGAGGAGTGTTCCTGCACAGAAGGCATATGGGGGAGAAGGGCCAGGACAAAGGACTGCCCATCTGTCCACCCAGTCCATCTCCTTCCCACAGCCATGTCCTGAGTGGAGCCAGGAAAAGACTGTGTAGTTAGCTATGATGAGGCCTTCTGCTGCAGTTGGAAGTGGCCATATGGGTGCTGGATAAGGAGGACTGGGCTGTGCCACTGGGCTGGGTGCTCAATGGTGAGCACCAACATCCCTGGAAGGAAAGAAGAGCAGCCCAGAGGCAGGGCTGCTTCCCAGGGCAGGATGCATAGGCTCAGGAGGCCTTGGTGGAAAGCTTTGCACAAGGCTCCAGACAGCTCAGCTCACTCCTGCTGCACTCCTGTGAGCTGAACGGCTGACCAGCTACAGCACCACTCGGTGCCTGGAGTAAAATAACAGTATCTGCTTCTCAGGGTAACAGGGAAGTGATAATTCCGCATAGCACACACCGAATATTCAGTGAATGCAGATTGTAGAGTTAAATTCATTGGCGAAGACGCCAGCGCAGAGGGCCTCCCTGGAGTGGGGGGTTGACAGGCTGCTGACCCCTCACACCCCTCAGGCAAGGCCCAGCTTACCTATGGTCCTTTGGAGGTCTTCACACTGGCTGATGTGAGGGAACTTCAGGATTTCCTTCCACTTCTTGCTTTTCCCTTTGCGCTTTCCTCCACCCCCTGCAACGATGGAGGAGAAAGATGATAGGTCCATGTTGCTGCTACCCAAGGTTCCAGGGCCTTCACCCCATCTCAGGAAGCTGTCCGTCAGATTCCTAGATCAGTGACCAACACCACCCACCACCACAGCCCAAGACACACACACACACACACACACACACACACACACACACACACACATTGGCCTCAAGCCTCAGATTTTCCTGCATGGTCTGCTGGGGCCCTGCTCAGCAGAGACCCTCCCACCACCCCCAAGCCAGCATCCTGTTCCTGCCTTTCATTGCCTCTCACTCCTGTCAAAGATCCCCTTGGTGCCTGGTATCCAACCCCCAGATTAGATCATAATTTTCCCGTGGCAGGGACCAGGCCTGTCCCAGCGTGATATTCCCCATGGCCCTGGGCAATGTTCACAGAACACAGCCCCAGGCTGCACCTCTGCAGCCCCCTCCCTACCTTCATTCTGTCCTCTCATTCCCATGGAGAGCACCTTCCTTAACTGCAGGCTAGATTTGTGGGATTGGTTTCCATTTATGTTGGGCTCCTGTTGGACTCCTCCCTCCTCATAAACTCCAAGTTTCAGAGAACATATTTATTAAGGCTGTTAGAAGATATGATGTTTAAGAAAGAAAGAAAGAAAGATAGATAGATAGATAGATTGCAGGGGTCCATCCCTTGTCATATGTCCTTCAACGTGCATACACAATGCACACACACACGCCATGAAAACATGTCACCAACAGGCCAGTGCAGTGAGCATGCAGAATGGAGAGAGGTGTACACAGGGGTGCTCCAGCGCCCCCATGGTCCTCCTTATCTGAGAGATGGTGGGCAAACATGGGAACACCCATGGGGCAAACAGCAGTGGGGCACTGACTCTCAGGGGCCTGAGTGTCCCTGAGCTGAAGCACGCTTGGAGCTTGGACCTGGAGGCACCTCTGCCATATGGTCATGGTCCCCTGGGGATCCTCCTCCTGTCTCCACAATGACTCTCTGTGAATAACCTACAAAGGTCACATTGCCCTTTGGGCCTCTCGGTATCTCAGGATTTTAAGGATCCTTTATCCTCCTTCAGGACCCTGGGGAAGGCCTGACTCCCTACTTTGGGGAGACAGTAACCCCTCCACTCTCTAACTCTCCCAAGAAGAGTCTGGGTGAGACTAGGCCTCTTTCTCTGGCCAGCAAACCCTGTTGCCACCTTGCCCCAGCCCCGTGGCCTTCACGTGCTATCTGCACCTGGGCAAGCAAACTAGGGATAGCAAGGTACTTTCCAAGGGCCACTGGGAGGGATGGCGAGGCAGGTTCAGAGCACAGCCAGGGATTCTTAGCCATCATCCAAGCTTCCCTGGAAAGCTGAGGTCAAGAGCCTGCTCAGCAGTGGGCCATCTCTGACCATGGAACCAGGACCCCCTGCTGGAGGCCAGGAAGAGAAGAGGGAGCTGATGGGGTTGGGGAAGGGCACAGGAGCATTTCTGATTTCTTTGCTTATCCTGCCGTCAACCCAGCCAGGCCCAGTTTCCCCTTCCAGAGCTCTACAGATGGCCAAGGACTCAAACTTCAAGGAACAGTGTGTCACAGGCTTCATGTCACAGATTCACCACTTGGGACCTGTTTTACTCCATACTCTTCCACCCGAACCTGAGAACCTGTTCACAAGTGTACACACTAGAAAGTCCTTAGGTTGGCCCTGCAATCTGTACCTCCTGCATTCTTTACCCTCCCTCTAGAAGCAGGGACTATTATATTCCCACTTGACCAAAGAGGAAACTAAGGCATGAGAAAGAGAAGCATGACATCCATGGCCCTCCAGCTTATCAATGGCAAAGCCCCAGCCTCAGTAGAATCCTTACCTAAGTTCTCATCTTCACTGTTCTCTCTGTAAACCACCCCTTTGGGAACACTGAGAGCAAGAAACATTCTCAGAGGATCAAAGAGAGAGGTGATGTCAGTCTTCAGATGTGACACAGAATTTGGTAATAGAAAGGGAATGGGGATCTAATTGGGACCCCAGCCCACGAGCTCCCACAAACATCTGCAGACCAAACCAGAGCCCTGGAACGTTAGTTCTGTTTGCCTCACATGTAACTTGTTTGCTTGCTGTTCAGTGAATCAGTTACCAACACTTACACATGAGGAAGTTGCACATAACACCCAGATTTTGGATTTGTCACTCACAACCAGGCTTCCCACATGGCAAAAACCAGCTGGAGCTGGGCAGCAGATGGCCCATGGGCAGAACACGTGGCCTCCAGATGAGTCTGTCCCCACCAGCTGGAGCCCTCACTCAGGTGGCCTGCCTGGCCTCCCGAGGGTTATATTCACACCCAGAGACACACTGCTCTCATCCCACTTGCCTATAGGCTGCAAGGCTTGAAAGGGTCATCAGTACTCAGACTGCACGCACTCCCTATTAGCACCCATTTGTTTGTGATAAAATACACACAGCATAAATTTATCACTCTGTTAATAGATGTACAACTCAGTGGCACTAAATGTATTCACACTGTCGTGCATCCTTCAACACTACCCACCTCCAGAACCTTTTCATCATCCTAAGTGGAAACTCTCCCCTCTCTCCCTCTTCCCTCGTGGTAATCTCCATTCTACTTTCTTTCTGTGAACTGGACCACTCTAGGTACCTCACAGAAGTAAAATTATACAATAGGCATCCTTTTGTGTTTGGCTTATTTCACGTAGCACAATATTGTCAAGGTTTCTCCATGTTGTAGTGTGTCCGGATTTCCTTCCTTTTTTTTTTTTTTTAATTTAAGGAGAAAAAAAAAATAGAAAAAGGATAAAAGTTATACAGAATTTCAGAAGACATAAACAGTAGGAAATCACTAGTTAATAAATTACATATTGTTATCTTAGAAATAGTTATTCAAGTTACAAAATTAAAGCATATAAAGTGGACTTTCAAACAGTGAGACTGGAAACAGTTTTGTTCAATGATCCAACAAAACTCAGTAATATGGTTATCTATCTTATACACTTAAACATATATGCAGTTATAACCTTTAGAGCACTTTCTTTTCCTTTCTTTTGTACAATGACAATTACACATTTTGGGTTTTATTACTCCCACAGTTCTTATTACTTTTTTTTTGAAGAGAGTAAAACCAAATGTGCCATAACAGAACAGATTCAGTCAAATCAAAAGGATGGACATAATAGATAATGTAAAAACAAAATACAAGGTGATCAACAATGGTTACCATACTGCCTCTTGCTATCTTAAAAAGAATTGCCTATATTATCAGTTATAATAAAATTGAACAAAACAGTAAAGAATAAAGCCAAAACATTGGAGATATTACAGGACTTTAAAAGAAGATAATAGTCAACCGGAATGGGCATCATAATGAATCTTATTGTCTTCACAGTTTTGCCTATACTTTCGAACTTGGTACTATCAAGCAAAGCAGAATAGAGGAAAATCAGTCAAAACAAGATGGTGAGGGCTATACAGGGTTTCAAATCAAGTTAATAGAAAATCAAAGTGGGTTACTATAATGTATCCTGCTATTTTTTATTTTTCCCTTAATTAAAAAGATAAAAATTAAAAAGTAAATAATTTTAAAAAAAGAAGATTGAGATAAAAGAGGGCATAACAACAAAACAGCGCAGGTCAAAGCATAACCATTTAAGCAAAATAGTGTTTCACCACAAGATATCCTGATATAAAAGTAGTTACCATAGTATCTCTTTCCTTGAAATCTTTGAGTATAACTTCCTATACTGTAGCACCAAACCTATCAAGACAATGTAAAACCATTCAAAAGAATGACATTATTACCGGGTATTTAGAACCAATTAACAGAAAATGAACAATGGTTTCTGTATAATCTCCTTGACTATAAAATTTTTTCCTTATATTATCACATATAATAAAATCTAATAAGACACAACCTGCTAAGACCGATGGAGACAGAAGAACAAAAGCTTGATGGGACTTCAAAGCAAGATGATACTAAATCAGCACTAGCTATTATGATGTCTTGTTTTCTCCAAAATAGCGGTTCCTACCATCCAATCTTCTCTGCCTCATTTCTGTTGAGCTCTTTTTCTGTCGTTTGTTGTCAGTTTATCTTCTTCATTTCGCTTTCTGCTCCATTCATTGTGGCCTCTCTGCCACTGTTTCTGAAGTCTTGGTATTTTTCTTTTTTAGAATATCCTGCAGTATTCTCTGTAGAGTTGAATTGGTGGTTGCAAATTCCCCTAGTTCCTCTTTATCCTGGAAGCACCTTGTTTTTCCATCAATTTCCAGGGACAGTTGTACAGGATATATCAATCTTGGCTGGAGGTTTGTTTTTTTTTTTTTTTTTTGTCTTTTTCATTTTTATCAGTACCAGGGATTGAACTCATGACTGCCTGCTTGCAAGGCAGGTGCTTATGCCGCTGAGCTAAATCCCCAGCCCCGGTTGTTATCTTTCAAAGCTTGACTTATTTCCCCCCATGCTCTTCGTGATTTGATGGTTTGTGCTGAGAAGTCTGCTGTAATTCTGATGGGTGTTCCCTTGTAAGTGATCTGTTTCTTGTCTCTGATGGCTTTTAATATTCTGTTCTTATATTGGATTTCTGGAATTTTGATTATTATATGCTTGGGTGTAGCTCTGTTTGGGTTGTAGGTGGCTGGGGTCCTGTATGCCTCATACATCTGAGTATCTTTACCTTTTGCTAAATTAGGGAAATTCTTTTGGATTATTTCGGTGAATAGCTTTTGTAGTCCATTTGTTTGTGTCCCTACTTCTTCTTTTATGTTCTTAATTCTTAAGTTATAGAACTTCTTATCATCTTCTAGCGTTTATATTATTGCTGTTTGTTTTCTTGTTATTTTTAAGAAGTCTTTCATTTCATGCTCCCATATTACAAATCTGCCCTCCAATTCAGATAATCTATCCTTAGTTTCTTTCAGCCCATGTTATTATGCCAGCTTTCGATAGAGTTTTTAGTTTCCTGGTAATCTCTTTAAACCCACTTCACGTATTCTATGTTTTCTCTAT